AAAGGCAGCTGTGCCTCCAAGCCACCCCACTCGTAGGGCCTGGCAGTCTCTTTTTTTCTTTCATCTCCCATGAGGAGATTAAAAGGCAGCTTTGCCTTTAAGCCATCCCCACCTTAGTGGGATCAGAAATTTTTCTTTCTTTCATCTCCCATCAGGAGACTAAAAAGGCAGCTGTGCCCCCAAGCCTCCCCACTCGTGGGGCCTGGCAAATCTCTCTTTCGTCTCCCATCAGGAGAATAAAAAGATAGCTGTGCCTCCAAGCCACCCCACTTGTGGGGCCTGGCCGTTTCTCTTTTCTCTTTTCCTCCTTCTAAAATTAAACTTCCCTAATCGGTTTTGTTATCCTGCCCCCCAGGGCATTCAAGCCGCAGCTAAAACCAGTTTGGTGAGAATTTAAATTAACTAGCCCCTGCGGAGCACCTGAAAGTTCAAGGTGGCTTGCGCCGAACAAAAGATTTAAAAGTGCCATTTTTTTTTCTGCAGTCTAAGGCTCGTATCTGTAAGAGTGTTCCAATCCCCTTAGTGTCAGGCTGCTGCAGAAACGTTAAACACTAAGACAGCGCTATTTTCTTTTTATAATGGGTAATTCAACATCACGCCAGAAAAAACTCCAAATTCGCTCCCTTAGAGCCTTACTTAAATCAAGAAGACTTAAGATCTCCCGAAAGGAATGCTTAAAATTTTGGAATGAAGTATATCAATTTGCACCCTGGATCCTGTCAGCAGACATATCTGATCCGGAGGTCTGGACTAGCATTACATATCTGGCTCATAAAAAAGAAATCTAGGAAAGGCATAATTTTCCCCTTTCCTTTTTCCCCATAATGGCAGCTATCCAACAATGCTTAGGAAACCCACCTAAGATTAAAGAAAGCTTACAAACACCAGAAAATAATAAAGGAGAGGTTTTAAACGATTAAAAAAAACTCTGCAGACTGCCCAGTAGCAGATTCAACAGCCCAAAAAATAAAATTTGACCAAGTCAGACAAAACCCACCCATCAACAAGGTTAACTCTTACCCCCCTCTTGCTGATTTAACAAGCCCAGATATTAACGCCCAGACTTCAAAAGCTCCCAAAGCTCCTCAGATAAATCCCCCTCCCCTTCACCTTGGCTGCCACCGCCTGTGGCGCCATTCCAGCCACACCCTACAGCCACAGAACAACTGCGTAATCTTAGGGACAGTGGAAGTTGCCAGCCTCAATGGCCTCAGGACCCCCAAATCCCACCAGTAGATGCTTTTCCTGTTAACTTACAAATAACAAGGCAACACCCACTAGCCTGGTACCCACTCCCAGCAGCGGAACTAAAAGAATTATGCCAGGCTGTCCGTGAAGATGGAATCCATGCTCCATGGACAAAATCTATACTACAAACATTTAATACTAATCTGCTTACCCCCCAGGACTGGAGGGATATCTGTAGATCTACCCTCCCCAGTCCATTATTTGTACAATTGGAGGCTTTATTTAGAGATGAATGCCTGATGTAGGCTAAAAGAAATGACACTCATA